TAACATGTATTTCAACTAGGGGCAGCAAGAAGAAATAGATAAAGCCCCAAAAAAGTAATTTCAGCATTCCAACACATCCTTTCAACATGTATTTCAACAAGAGGCAGCAAGAGGTGCAGGATAAAGCCCCAAAAATGTAATTTCAGCGTTCAAAACATCCTTCTAACATGTATTTCAACTAGGGGCAGCAAGAAGAAATAGATAAAGCCCCAAAAAAATGATTTCAGCATTCATGATACCCTTTCCAACATGTATTTCAACTAGGGGCAGCAAGAAGAAATAGATAAAGCCCCAAAAAAATGATTTCAGCATTCATGATATATGAAATAATATAAAATAGGATAGGATAGAATAATACCTCTTCTCCTTTTTGTAACTTAAAGCAAGAGAGAAGTAAAGCTTCCTTTCCAACAGAGAACACAACGAAGAGATTACCCTAATCGAATGGGTAATAGAGGTAGAAAAATACTCAAATCTCTCTAAAATCCCTCAAAACTTCTTTCAAAAAATTTTTTTTTAACAAACCCTAAGCCACACAGGATCAAAAGAACAAGTAGATCAAAAGAACAAGTAATAGCAAAAGAACAAGTAATAGTGGATCTTGAAGAAATTTTGACAGCACCTCCTTATCTCCAAAATTTCGGCCAGCCCTAGAAATTTTCAAAGTAGTATTTTAAAGCAAAGAATGGGGGAGGAGAAGCCACCTACCAGCCACCCATTTCAGCAAATCGCGTGAGAGGAGAGGAGAAAAATTTAAAGCAAGAAGAAATGCGACCTGGGGTAGAGGAAGGGTCGGCCAGGTGGAAACTCGTGGTTGGGGGAACACTCGGTCGAGGGGAACTCGAAGAGACGAGCCACGTGCGCAACCAGCGGCGGAGTGCCGCGTGCGAGGAGGCGAGAAGACGATTTCGGGAGAGGAGGCGGGCGATCGTCTCGGTCTCGGGTGAGGAGCAGTCGCGGGACGCCGAACGACTGCGAGAAGGATCTAGGGCACGGGACCGAGCCAGGCACGAGCGAAGGAAGAAAATAAAATATCGCGTATGGGATCCCTTTTTTCGGGTTTATGCAAGCCAAGGAAACATAAATAAAGTTAGGTTAAATATTATTTAAAAAAAACATTTAAGATTTTTAAAAAAAAATGAAATTTTAACACGTGTTTCACTCATGCATCAAAACACCGTGTTTCACTCATGCATCAAA